CAGAGACAGAGAGACAGAGACAGAGAGAGACAGAGAGAGACAGAGAGAGTGTGTGTGTGTATTTGTGTACACGTGGAAGCAAGAGTCTCCACCACTGTTGGCTAGCCAACAAACCCAGGGGACCTCCCCGCCCTCCCCAGCACTGGCCTTACAGGCACATGCAGTGTCAACTAGTTTCTATGTGAGTGCTAGAAATTTGAATTCAGACCCTCATGCTGATGTTACTCACTGAGCCACCTCCTCAACCCAATCATCTAGTTTTTCTTAATGAACAGTTTTCCACACTTAGTCTATTATGAAACAGTTGCCCCAGAACTATTTTTCAAAACAACATGATTAATATTAACTTTGTTTTAATCATGAATATGTTAGGCATGATGATTACATAATCCCAGCACTGGGAAGGGTAAGGCAGGAGGCTCTCAAATTTGGAACACAAAATAAAGAGAATACACACACACCTAAATGGAAAGATGCAAGACATCCACACACCACTACAACCAGTATTAACAGTGGTGGGATATGTTATGTCCTTAATCAGGCTTAATTTGTGAGCTTATGCCCCCCCCAAAAAAAATGGGAAATGTCACATCTACTATTTTCCAGGATCTTCCATTTGCTATTGAAGGTAAACATTTTCCTTTATACATAAGCATTACTCTAGAAAGTGATTTTTCATGACTGTGTAGTTAGTTGTATTACAGTCACCCAATAATCAATCATCAGACATCAATTTTTCTTTTTGGTTTTTCCTTATTTAAAAACTTACAAATATTTCTTAAGCTGTAATAAATCTTTTACTGTGAGTTTTATATACATCTTTGCATATGTCATAAAAATGCAATTTAAAAGCCAGGCATGGTGGTATATACTTCTTATCACAGCATTTTGAAGGCAGAGGCAAGAGGATCTCTATGAGTCTGAGGCAAGCCTGGTCTACAAAATAAGTTCCAGGCCAACCGGAGCTACATAGTGAAACTTTGTCTCAAAATAAATAAATGAATAAAATTTAATTTGTGAACATGAAGATGTATTATCTTCTTTTTATTTTTAAATTAAGATATAATTACATTATTTCCCTTCTTTTCTTCCTTCCCTCTGGTCTTTCCTGTGCCTCCCACCACCCCAGAAATCATAGTTTTTTTTTTCTTTGTTATTGTCACACATATTTAAAAGTACCAAAATACATAAATACAATGTGCTCAGTCCATTTAGTGGGTCTGTGTGTGTGTGTGTGTGTGTGTGTGTGTGTGTGTGTACAGATATACTGATATAGATTGATAGATATGATTTCAGGCTAACTACTGTATAGTGTTCAGGGGATATCCCTGGGGTAGACTATTTATCTTACTCTCAGCATTCCCTAAATGCCTGCATCCTTTGTCTATGGCTGGGCCCATGGGATACCCTTCCATTTTAGAATGTCGACTGGTGGTGTAGTTCTACAGGTCTTGTTTCTGAAGCATATGGCTGAGTTATCACAGGTAAAGATTCCCTGTCATTTCTAAGAGACATAGTCTCATAGCACATGTCCTGGTCCCCTGGCTCTACAATCTTTCTGTGCCTTCTTTCACAATGCTCCCTGAGACTTAGGTATAGGAGTTGTGTTGTAGATAGATCAATAATAATATTTTATTGCAAGTCTAAATAAATGCATTTCTTTTAATAAATAGTAGGAGCCAGGCGTTAGTGGTGCACACCTTTAGTCCCAGCACTGGGAAGGCAGAGGCAGGCAGATCTCTGTGAGTTCAAGGCCAGCCTGGTCTACAGAGTGAGTTCCAGGACAAACCCCAAAGCTAAACAGAGAAACCCTGTCTCAAAAAAAAAAAAAAAAAAAGAAAAAGAAAAGAAAAGAAAGAAAAGAAAAAGAAAAGTAGTACAATATGGTATCGCAGGTCTATAACTCCAGCATGCTAGGGTCTGAGGCAGGAGGATTGCTGAAATCTTAAAGCTAGCCTGAGCTACACACTCAATACCTTGTTTAAAAAACAAAACAGGCCAGGCGGTAGTGACGCAAACTTCTAATCCCAGCAGTAGGAAGGCAGAGGCAAGTGGATCTCTATCTGTTCAAGGGCAGTCTGGTCTACAGAGCTCGTTCCAAGACTGCCAGAACTACACAGACAAACCCTGTCTCAACAAAACAAAACAAAAATAAAAATCCAGAAGACTTAAAGACCACCAACCCCAGCCAAGCATGATGGCATATACCTGTAATCCTAATATTTGGAAGGCAAAGACAGAGGATTTTAAGTCTAAGGCTACCCTAGGTAAGTTCAAAGCCAGCCTGAATGCCAGAACAAGGAATAAATGACTAGGGAATAGAGCTCAATGGCAAAATAAAGGCTAGCATGAGCAAGGCCTTGTGTTCAAACTCTAGCACTGACAAAAGTATGTCTTACTTTAATTACTAAACTTCCCTCAAGTAAGGACACACCAATTTGTGCATACATGGAATTTAACTTCACTCATTTCTTCTTTAATAACTTCAATGTTACCCAGAATATACAAACAACAAACAAATGATTTTTTAGAAATATTCTGTTGAGCCAGGAGGTGGTGGAGCATGCCTTTAATCCCAGCACTCAGGAGGCAGAGGCAGGTGGATCTCTGTGAGTTAGAGGCCAGCCTGAGCTACAGAGTGAGTTCCAGGACAGGCTTCAAAGA